AAGATGAATATAGGGCCAAAACAGACCAAACCCCGTGTGGGTTTCTATATGTTTCGGCTGCAGCGCAATCCATTAGGCCCCTTTTCTGCAAAACCCCTGCTTGTCATGAAATGAATATGCATTATGAATTTCAATCAGATTTTATAAAATATAGCGGGTTCATTTTTAGGAAACGAGTTTTTCCTTATAAAGGTAGCTCACTTTGCGAATTTCAACGAAGTCGGTTAATAAATACGACTTTTATAAGTAACTCTACTTCAGCGCCACCAGCATGTTTTCTAGTAGGCTATAATAGGACCATATATGCAAGGAATAACCTCCGACAATTTGACTGGTTTTTGAGTTTAGTCCGAACAATGAAAACGACGTATCATTTTATGTATGTATGTATGTACATTAGACTGCATCACCAAAAAATGTATAGATTTTATAATTCCAATGGAAAAATAGTACCAATTTTTTTTTTTGTATGGGGAGTGTTGCAGTCTAATGTACATATATGATTCGAATGAAAAAAAAAATCATCATGAAAGTAATAAACGTTTCGAATTTGCATTAACAAAATCGGTTCATAAATGGGGCTTTTATCGGGTCCGTTTTCGCAAACGTTTTTTCATCATGCAGGTAGCTTATACTTTGAATTTGAACGAAATCGGTTCATAAATACGACTTTTATAAATAACTCGACTCCCACGCCACCTAGTTGGTCTATTTTTGGTAAAGGTATTTTCCATCATGCTGGTAGCTTACATTTTGAATTTAAAAGAAATCGGTTCATAAATACGATTTTTATAAATGACTCGACTCTAGCGCCACCTAGTGGGTCGCATACGTACTTCTCATCATGGAGGTAGCACTCGTTTTAAATTTGAATGAAATCGGTTCATAAATACGACTTTTATAAATAACTCGACCCTAGCGCCACCTAGCGAGTTTTGTGGTAGCCTATAATAGGACCATATATGCAAGGTATAACCCCTAAAAATTTTAATGAAATCTGTGCAGTAGTTTTTGAGTTAACTCCGAACAACGAAAACGGCTATTGTTTTATATATATGGGTATTTCCATACGTCGCATACGTGACAGTCGTACGTTTCAATGTGATACAAACAAGGAATACCATTTGTTTTCTTTAACTTTTTTGGGCCATTGTATAGCACATAATTTGCTTTATATTTAACCGAATAATAAAATTATAGTTTAAAAAACTAAAACCTCCCAATTATAATTGCCTTTCGTACTGTCATCAGCTATGTAACTTGAGAATAGAAATCGCTGCATCTTTTAGGCGCATCAATATTACATAGTTACATCCCGAGCTAATAAAAGGAAGGTAAAAATGAAAACAATCGAACTGCTTGGTCCTGAAATATAAGCATTTAAAGAGAGTGTCGTTACGTGACAAAAAATGGAAGTAGATTTTTTCTTTTCTTACAAAATCGCAAAACTCTGCGGATTGTGGATGGCTATTTTCATGAAACTTATTTTAATATGATTTGGAGCAATTCTAGTTGTTTTTAGAGTTTTTTGAATTAATGCAACTTGTTTCAATTTTCTTTTACAACCCCAAGTGTGAAACGTGGCATAATATTCCATCGTTATATATTTGTTACTATTGCTTTTAAATTAATTTTTAACGCAAAAAAAACATGTATTTTATGTAGAATATACTTTATATTTTGACTTCAGCGCCAATTCAGGGTGAATTTGTTGGAAATCTAAGATTTATTATGTTTCAACTACATACGCCAAATTCGAAATAAATCGGACCATAAATACGGTTTTTCGAAATATCTCAACCTTGGCGCCACCTAGGAAGACCATTTTACGCAAACATGATTCTACTTACTTAGCCAGTATATATTTTAAAAAGCAGACAAATCGGCCCGTAAATACTTTAGATACAAGACTTTTATTTTTTTTTGTCGTGGTGGACCTTCCTATGGAAACACCCATATAGATAATGGTTGGTACATTATATTACACTGTACCCATACTTGTTCTTACATCCAAAATTCGATGTTGCGTCA